AGCCATGTCCACTATGGGTACCTCGTTTGTGTGTAGGCAGAGGTCCAGTACAGCGTTGTGTGTAGCAGAGGTCCAGTACAGGTCCAGTACAGCGTTGGGGATGAACAGAAAGAGACTTGGGGATGCTGGGTGTCTCCGTGTCCTAGAGTATGGCTGGGGCTCATGTGGAAAAGCTGAGTCCCAGGTTTGAATTCTGATGGATTAACTGACCTGGAGGAGCAAGAGGACTGACACAGGGTTGGGGATAAACAGGAAGTGGCTCAGGGATGGTGGGTGTCTCATGGTCCTAGTGTATGCCTGGGGCACTTACACAGAGAAAGCTAAGTCCGGAGTTTGAATGCTGATGGATTAACTGACCTGGAGGAGGAAGAGGACTGGCACAGTGTAAGGGACGAACAGGAAGAGGCTCAGGGATCTGGTATTTCATTCCTACAGATGTCTTTAGCTTCATTGTCATGGAGAGTTCTGCCTACATCTTCCTCTATGTATGTTATGGGTTCAGTTCTGATATTGAGGTCTTTAATTCACTTGGATATGACTTTTGTGTTTGGCTTTACACAGAGTTCTTTTTTTCCCCCAAATAACCCCTTTCAGTTTTCCTAGCACCACCTGCATAAGAGGCTTTCCTTGTTCCACTTCACATTTCTTGCTCCTTCATCAAAGATTAAGTGATCATATATTTGAGAGTCTGTGACAGAATAGTCAACTGTTTCATTGGTCTGTGGGTCTGTTCCTAATCCAATAACATGCGTTTTATTTACTACTATTTTGCAGTATATTTCGAAGTTAGGGAAGGTGATGACACCCATATTCTTGTTCCCAAGGTTTGCTTTAGCTATTTGTGGGTCTTTATTGTTCTATATGAATTGTAGGAGTGTTTTATCTAATTTTTGAGTAACGTCATGGGTATCCTTATAGGGAGTACATTGAGTCTGCATAATTCTTTGGGTACTATTGATTGTCATTTGGACAATAACAATCCTCCCTATCCGTGCACAGGGGATGTGTATCCATTTCCTCGTGTCTTCTTTTATTTCTTGAAGTAGTGTTTTGTAATTTTCTTTGTATAGATCCTTCACCTCTATATTTAAGCTGTTTCCGAGCCACTTGATTTTGTGAGGCATATTGTGAAGGGGATTTTTTCTCTTTAATTCATCCCAATGTTTCCTTGTCCACTGGTTATTTTGAGGCATTTTTGGTTGTTGCTGCTGAGAGCTTGGGGTTTGTTTATTATAGCAACCAGCCATATGAATTCTTGAACAAGTAAACTTTGAGATTTAAAAGGGATGAATTTATGTGCCCCTTATTTATGAGGCTCTTTTAAAATATTCTGCTGTTGTCTGGAGATTTTCTGCACCTCTTCTTGGAGTCCTCTAATTCTGTCCTCAAAACTTTTTACTCTGTTACGAGGCCTGTTAGTAACTTTTAATTTTACCTACCAAGTTTTAGAGTTCTGTCATTTCAGTTTGTATTTTCATAGTTTCTGCTATCATATCCTCTTTTGTTTTATTGGCAGTCTGTTCTATTGTTTCTTTGAGCTCCTTATATCTTCACAACAGTTCTTCTCCAAATTTCTTATCAAGAGGTTACTCATTATTACTGGTTAGTCTTCCAGGCTACTATCTTCACTTACTAAGTCTGGTAGAATTATCCATTGATTTCCTATTTCTAACTTTTGCTGTTTAGAATTGTTTCTTGTGAGCTATTTTTGTGGCTCAGTAGCTTTTGTTAGGATGTCTTCATATACTTATGACATTTTATGAAGAGGTAAATAAGCAAAGACATGCTATGCTCTGTGGCCACACTCTTCATAGAAAGAATAGTCTTGACCTGGGTGGGCTATACTGCAATACTGATTACCAACTGGTCCTCAATGTCCACTTTTGGGATTGCCTAAATGCTCTGAACTAGGGCTCATTGGAGCCAAGTGGGTTAGCAAGTGCATTCCCCTTCCTTTTCCACTTTTCATTCAGGGATAATCATGTCCTGGGAGCAGATAAGATGGTCATTCTCACTATCAAATTGGCCCCGGAAGTCAGCTGCTGCTGGGTTTACTTCAGTGTTGTGCCTCCTCTGATTTTTTAAAAACCTTTTCTCCTATTTATTTTGGGATTTATTTGTTGTTCCCACTCCAGGTATGTAAAGCATGTATTTAAGTCATTGGTTTGAGCTTTTTATTCTTTTGGTAGTTAAGCCTTTATTGTCATGAATTCCCCTCCTTAACTTCTGATATTTCCCATGGATTCTGCTAGGTTGTTTTTCATTCTTATTAGTTTCCAGGAAATTTTAATTTTTACCTTGATTCTTTTTGCATTCACTTGTCTTTTAGCAGTGTTTTGTTTAGGTTTTTGATGCTGAATATTTTCCCCATATATATATTTTTTTAATAGTTTATTTCTTTATTGAATCACTGTGGGAAAAGTTACAGAGCTTTCGGGTTTAGGTCTCAGTCATATAAGTATCAAACACATTTCCCTTTACCAATACTTATTTTTAACCGTGAACCCCAATAGAACCCCACCTCCCACCCCTCCCAATTCCTGTGAGGCAGATGAGTTCTAGTTAATACTCTATCTACTTTGACTAGATACATTGTTTCGATAGAAGATACACAATTATTGTGTAGAGTTTACGACCCCCCCCCAATCAGATATGCTGAAACAGTGTTGTGAAATGATTTGCTTTCTACAGCTTGGTTTAAGAATAAAATGATGTCGCGTGGCCGCAATAGCGGCCGCGCAGTTTTGGATTTCTGCTATTTCACTTATTAACCCTGGAAGTATTTCTATTAAAAGTTAGATAGTTAAGAGATTGGTTTCTGTGCTCTGGAGTCATGGCCGTGCCGGAGAGCTGCTCGTGGGGGGCAGCCGGTGACCTCGGTCGGGCGTGAAGGACGGCCCAGAATGCCCCCCTTCCCATGAGGCCCCCGCTGCCCCCCGCCCCCGGCTCAAACCTGGTGTCCACAAGGCTCCCGTGCGGCCGCCATCTTTCTTTCCAGAGAGGAGCAGGCGAGCGGGACAACACCCTTTCCCCTCCGGGCAGGCTTGGTGGCGCGGTTTAACACATAGTCCATTTGCTTTTCTGCTCCAAGCGGCTGGTTCTCTGTGCTAAGTCCTTGTGCCTCCGGGGCCGTGGCCGTGCCGGAGAGCCACTCGTGGGGGGCAGCTGGTGACCTCGGTCGGGCGTGACCCCATATATTTTTATGACTAATTTGTACCCTAATGCCTTCGAAGACTGCTTCATGGCTTCTGAGACTACTCAGGTAGTCTTAGGGGTTGCTTGTTATGATTACTTTTTTTCTAAAGTTATGTATGTTTTATTTCTGCCCCAGTTTGTCTTCTGTCTTGGAGAATGATCCCAGTGTACTAGAGAAGAATGTTTGTTTAGATTTTTTTGAGGATGGAGGATTCTGTGTATATCAGTTATCCTAAATTCATTTATTTTTTTCTTATTATTTAGTAGCTATTTTTGTCTCCCTAGTGGTGAAAGTGAAGTGTTGAAGTTATATCCATATATACATTATATAAACACATTTAAATTTTGAGTCACAGTCTGCCTTGTTCAAGAGCTACTACCAGCTTTGTGCTCTGACCTCGGTTTAGATCTTTCTTAGGGACAGTCATGGGAATCAAATCTGTTTCACTGCCATGAAAACCATGACTTTTAGTCACATAAGCTGTCTGTTCCCAGATTTTAATACAATTTTTCATTTGAGTATGTAGCTGTTTATATTTAAGCAATATTACTCTTTATGACACCTGAAATAGCATATCCCTAGAAAATGTTTTGCCACTATGACCATTGATATAACACTATCCCAAAAAAAGCTTTTTCCAATTTTGTGCTTATTTTCACACTAATATTCTCATAATAAACTATATTGCAAATGTATTGACCTTTGGTTGTTTGAATTACACATGTGCCTTTATGATTCAGTAAACCCAATTTTTTCTTCAATTTTATTGAAATTTTCCTTTTTTGTAAATTTAAATAAATCATATTGGTGTCCAGAAAAAAAAAGCAAATAATCTGAAGTACTATTTTTTCCATGGAGATAGTCCACCGCATATTTATGAGTAAATGTGAAGATTTTCAAGATAAGTAACTATTATGTGAATGTAAACTGAGACCATGATAAAATAACACCTATTTTTTAGCTTGTTAAAGTGACTGTAATCAAAAACAGAAGAGTTAAATACTGGTCAAAATTTAGAGAAAAGGGAACTCTTGTATATTGGTGGTGGTAATATAAATTGATGAAACTGACTGAAAATGTGGGAAGTATTACAGAAGTTCCTAATTAGACTAAATTGGAAATAGAATTATCTTATAATTTAGCAGTCCCCCATTTGCATACATATCTGAAATAAATAAGATCACTATGTAATGTCCCCACCTTCATGTATATGTTAATATGACACTTGACTGCTCAAACATAGATATACAATCCAAGTGTCCATCAACCAAGTAATAAATACAGAAAATGTTATGCACACATACTCATGCAAGAAAATCATATTCAACCATGAAAAGAGGAAAATCTTGTCACTTGGGATAGCATGGATGGATGATGAGAGCATTGTGGTAAATGAAAAATATCAGACTGAGAAAAACTTGTACTACATGATCTTTTATGTTCATGATTCTAAGAAAAATAATTCATAGAATGATATTAAAAGCTGGCCATGAAGAGTGTATAAATACATGCATATGGTCACAAGATACAGACTTCCACTTATAAGATGTAAATAATAAGATGAATGAACCAGCATATTTGTAGTTAGCACTGCTGTATGATATACTTGAATGTTTTGAGTATATTTTTAAAGTTCTTATTACATTGAAAAATGTAACTATATAAGGGGATTATACTTAGAATTGATGTTTCCTCCCTCGCAGTCTTGTGGCACTAGACTTTATTTCCCTTTACACGTATTTCCTGTCCAGTTTATATATAGTATCGTGATTAATGCTGTATATATTTTATTTTATCTTTTCAGCTGAATCCTTCAAGGAATTTGCCGAATTGCTTAATGAAGTAGAAAATGAAAGGATGATGATGGTAGGTGGTCACTATTTCTGAACTTAGACTTGAGATCATGCAAATTTTTTCTGTTTTCATTGGCTGGATTTATTATTATTTTTATTTCTGTCTCAAGGTGTTTGATACTGTGAAAGCAGGTAGGAGGCTGTGGTTAATCTGTCTAAAGCAATAGGGTAGAGAATTAGGGAGGGAATTTCATCCCTATTCCATTCATTGAAATATTAGATATTAGAGTATATGAAAAAGAAATGTTTTAATTTGTTTTATTTATTTATTTTATGTTATTTATTTAAATATTTATTTATTAAACAAGTTTCCCCTAATTTTCTGTTCTTCTGCTTACAGAGATAGTTATAGTTTTTTGAGATGATTATTTTGTAGCACGGTAGCACTGTCCTCCCCGATTTTCTCCAGCGGGCACCAATAATGTCTAACAACAAATTGTGAGATTTGTTGTCACTGTTTTTGGCATGTTGAATACATCACGGGGGAGCTTGCCAGGCTTTTCCATGTGAGCGATATACTCTCGGTAGCTCGCCAGCCTCTTTGAGAGGGGCAGAGGAATCGAACCTGGGTCTGCCATGTCGGCTGTGTGCAAAGCAAACACCTTACACACTGTGCTCCAGCCCTTGTATCAAATATATTTATTACAATGAAAGTCTATTTGTTAAAAAATAATGGAATGGTATACTTAGATTGGTTTTATTTCATAAAAAGTGAGTAAAAAAGTACAAGAGAGATTTATTATATTTTATTCTCCCTGTACCTTCCCACACAGTTTCCCTGTTGATATCTTTCACATTCAATATATTCATTGCAATCAATAAGTTCACACAACGATATTAGCTAAAGCACACATGTTATATTGATGTTCATTCTTTGAGTTGAACATTATATAGGTTTGATCAAATATTTGGTATGTATTCACATTTAAAATATCATCATCATCATGCGAAGTGACATCTGCACTTGTTTGTTCATTGCAGCACTCTTTACAATAGCCAGAATCTGGAAAAAACCTGAGTGCCCAAGAACAGATGACTGGTTAAAGAAACTTTGGTACATTTACACAATGGAGTACTACGTAGCTGTTAGAAAAGATGAAGTCAGGAAATTTACATACAAGTGGTACTACATGGAAAGTATCATGTTAAGTGAAATGAGTCAGAAAGAGTGGGATAGACTCAGAAAGATTGCATTCATCTGGGGAGCATAAAGTCACATAATGGGAGACTAACACCCAGGAGTGACCGAGATTAGCACCGGGAATTTTGCTCCATGACTTGGAGGCCAACTACACGTGCTAGGGGAAAAGGAAGCTCAGATAGAGAAGGGTGCACCAAATAAAGGGTGTTGGGAGGATCCTCCCAGGATGGGAGAAGCATGCTGAAAGTAGACTATAGACTAAACATGATTGCCACTCAATGCCTCTCTTGCAAACCACAGAACCCAAAAGGAGAGAGAGAGAACAAAAGGGAATGACCTGCCACAGAGGCAGGGTGGGATGGGGGGGATAGGGGGTGGGAGGGATGCTGGGACCCGTGGTAGTCGAGGATGGGCCCTGGTGGAGGGATGGGTACTTGATCATTGTATAAATGAAACCCAAGCACAAAAATTTGTAAGTCTATAACTGTACCTCGTGGTGTTTCACTAATAAAAAAGTAATAAATAAAAAATAAAAATAAATAAAATATCATCATGCAGTATCTTTCCATAGCCCTCAAAATCATCTATTCTTGACCAGTTCATCCTAACCTTCTTTCATGCATGTCAGTTTTTGGAATACACAAATAATAATTTTACTTTGTTTCCGTTTCTGAAATATCATTATATGAAGCCATATAGTATTTAGCCCTTTCAAATTGGCTTCTTTGAGTTACCTCCATACATTTATCATGCTTCTATATATTTTCATTTTATTTCTTTTTATCATATATGTATCTATGTAGATAGATACATATATTCCTATTATATATATTATAAGTATTCATGCATTATAAATACATATAATATAGCACATACATATCATCCATATCCATACATATATTATACATATACACATATTGATATAATACATTCATATATCGCTGGAGCGATAGCACAGCGGGTAGGGCGTCTGCCTTGCACGCAGCCAACATGGCCGACCCGAGTTCGATTCCTCCGCCCCTCTCGGAGAGCCCGGCAAGCTACCGAGAGTATTCGATATGCCAGACACAGTAACAACAAAGTCTCCAATGGAGACGTTACTGGGCCCGCTCGAGCAAATCGACGATCAACGGGAGGGCCTACATTCATATATTATAAAATGCGTATTTTATTATGTGGATACACCAGTCATGAACTTATTGTAGGATATCTTGGTTGCTCACAAGTTTGTCAGTGTTGAATAAAGCAGCTATAAATATTTGTTTGAAAATATTTATGAAGATACAAATTTTAATTCTTGAGTAAATTATAAGGAATTAATCTATGACTTATCTTCATTTTCTTCATAATGTCTTACAGATTAGCAGCTTTAAAATTGTATATAACCCAGTTTATCTACTTTTTTCTTTTATGAGTCATGTTTGTAGAAGTGTATCAAAAATCATCTTTAAACCCAAGATCAACTATATCTTATATATAATCTTCTTGGTGTTTTATGATTTTCTTTCTTACATTAATGTTCATGATCCTTCTTGAACTAATTCTTTTTAAAAGTATGATCCAAGAATTTGGTAGCACTGTAGCACTGTCCTCCCATTGTTCATCAATTTCCTAAGCAGACACCAGTAATATCTCCATTGTGAGACGTGTTACTGTTTTTTGCATATCAAATATGCCACTGGTAACTTGCCAGACTCTGCGGTTTGAACAGAATACTCTCGGTAGCTTGCTGGGCTCTCTGAGAGGGACTGAGGATTTAAACCCGGGTCGGCCACATGCAAGGCAAACACCCTACCCGCTGTGCTATTGCTCCAGACCAAGAATTCGGTAGCGTGAGGCAAATAAAGTAACTAATTAAAAGTATGATGCCCGTGTCTAGATCAATTTTTTGCTTGTAGCTGTCAGATTATTTCATCCTCATTTATGGAAAATACTGTCCCTTTGTTATAGAATCACATTTGTTTATTTGTCGAAGATCAACTGACTATTTGTCTAGATTTATATCTGATATCTCTACCACACATGAAGCTGCAGGAATAAAAAAAATGTATGAAGCAATTCAACCTCTTTGACAGATGCAGGCAGATGAAATCTAGGTTAGTGCTCAATTACATCAGAACTTTTGATGCTGCCCAAGGATAACTTAAAGGCAACAGCCTTGACCAGAGGCACACGGACCTAATCCAGAGCCCGCCCTCTTCTGGCAGAAAAATGAATGGACTATGCGTTAAAATATGATGCCATGCCCCCCGGGAGGGAAAGGGTATCTGTCTCTTCCGCCATCCCCGACCCCCCCACCCCCCAGCAGCACAGTGACCACCACCTCAGAGCTTATTGGAAAGCCATGTATGAGCCAGCATTGCTGTGGCAACTGCAGCCTCATGGGATGGGGGGGGGGGGGGGGGGGGCGGACCGGCTCATCCTTCACTCCCTACTGAGGCCACGAATTGCCCCCAGTGAGCGGCTCTCCGGCACGGCCATGGCACCAATGGCACACAGACCTAATTCAGAGCCCGGCAGCTTGCGGCAGAAAAGTGATTGTACTATATGTTAAACTATGGCACCATGATCCCTGAGAGGGAAAGGGAAAGGGTGGCTGTCTCTTCTGCTTCCCTCCCCCCCCCACCCCCCCGTAGCATGGTGGTCGCTGCCTCAGAGCTAATTGGAAAGCCAGGTATGAGCTGGAGGTGACGGGGCAACTGCAGCCTCATGGGATGGGGAGCAGAACCGGCTCCTTCTTCACGCCCTACCAAGGTCATGACTTGCCCTCCACGAGTGGCTCTTTGGCACGGCCATGGAACCAGATGCACAGAAACCAATCTTGTAATTAGCTGTCTCTTCTCAGAAATTCCTCCATACTTAATTAGTAAAATATCAGAAATCCAAAATCGCTAGACCACTATTGCGGCCATGCAACATCATATGGTTTTCATAACCAGAAATAGAAAACAAATTATTTCACAATGCCCTTTCAGCGTTCTGATTGTTGAGCGGAAATTCCAAACAATAATGGTGCATCTTTTGTCAAAATAATGAATGTAATAAAAGTAGAGAGAGAGTTAAGTAGAAATCCTCTGCCTCACAGGCATATTGAGGGGTGGAAGTGGGGTATATTTGGGTTCTAGGTGGTGAAAAATAATTACTGGTGAAGGGAAAGGTGTTTGATCATTGTATGACCAAGACTTAAACCTGAAAGATTTGTAACTTTTCTCACGGTGATTCAATAAATAAATTTTAAAAAAAAGCAACAGCCTTCTCAGTGTTTGCGGAACTGATGAAAATAGTGGATTTGAGATTGAATAAACTAAAAGAGATGTTGATGGATTTTTTTAAAAGTGATTAAAACAATTGATTGAGGTAATGAACCATAGAGAAACTGAACAGCATAATGGAAGAAGTTGAAAATCTAATCTGAAATATTATAAATAAAGAATATAAATAGAAGAAAGGTTAAAAAGTTTAAAATTATGGTATTAATGAACAATAACAAGAGTAGAAACTTACAAATTATAGGAATTCTGAAGAAGAGGAAAATATAGAAAGGGTATGAATGGCTAGTGTAAGATAAAATACTTGAGAACTTCTCCAGTTTGACAAGGAGAATTGTATACTAATCCAGGATTCCAAGGAATGACAATCAAAATAAAATAAAGAAGAACACCAAGATACATTGTAATTTTAATGGCGATAATAAAAGACAAAGGTCTTGATGATCTTTCCTGGTTGCACCATCAGGTCCTCAGTAGATGTATCCGATGCAAGTGTATGTGCATTGAAAGTACAGACAGTCAGTCAGTTTTGTCTTTCTTCATTTTGCAGCCTAGTTCGGCCCTGAGATTTTATCAGCCTTTCCTTCCTCATCCTTCTTAGCG